TCAGAAAATTTCTGAAGAAGGGTCTAGGCCCGAAACGTCAGCCTTCCTGCTCTTGCGATGCTGCTTGGCCTGCTGTGTTCATCCAGCTCTACACCTTGTTATCTAACATCTAACCTACCTCATTCTCCCTGGAAGAAACAAACAGAATGTGATGAGTAGTTTTCAGCAACACTTCCTCTAAGCTGCATGTTGCCTGCAGCAACTCTGAAGGTTGGCATACTGTAATCAGACATTGATGGCTGTGTTGTGTTCCAGCTCCAAAAGTCACTACTGCACACTATTCCAGACTTCCCTGGATTCAGAAGTTGTGCCTCTGGATTGGAAATTTGCTCAGTCACTCCCCTCCTTTAGAAGACGGAGGATAGAGAGAAACCAGGGAATTACAGATCATTTAGCCTGACATCCTTGGTGGGGAAATTGTCAGAGTCCATATTCAAGGATAAGGTAACTGATCACTCCAACTAATTTCAGTTTATCAGGGAGAGTCAGAGTGGATTCATGACGGTAGGTCTTGCCTGACAAACCTGAGAGTTTTTTGAAGATGTGACAAAAGTGGTGGATAGAAGTAAGTCAATCGATGTCCTTTAAATGCACTTCCCGAAGGCCTCGGGTTATATCTCACGTTATCAACAAAGGTGGAAGCCACAGAATTGAGGCTAAATTACTGACATGGATAGGAAATTGGTTAAGTGGCAGGAAGCAGACAGTTGGAATAATGGATAAGTACTTAAATTGGCAGGACATGACCAGTGGTGTCTCACTAGCATCTGTATTGGGGCTTCAATTATTCACAATATTCATTCATGACTTGGATGGTAGCACAAAAAGTCAAATATCTAAATTTGCTGAAGACACAAAATTGAGCAGCATTGTAGATAGTGTTGACCACAAAATAAATTACACAGGATATTGATAGATTAGGTGAATGGGCAAAGCTGTGTGAGATGGATTTTAATATAAGCAAGTGTGAGGTTATCCACTTTGGAATATGAAAAGGATTGATCAGGATTTTTTTTAGAAGGTACAAAATGAAATAGAGCGGATATCCAGTGAGGTTTGTGGATTCAGGTGCACAGTGCTTTAAAATGCAATGAGCAGCTGCAGAAAATAGTCAAGAAGATTAATGGAATGCTGGCCTTTATATCTAAAGGGTGAGAGTATAGGGATACAGACATTATGCTGCAGTAATACAAAACCCTAGTTGGACCCCACTTAGAGTACTGTGAGCAGATCTGAGCAGCACATCTTAGGAAGAGATAACAAGGTGTAGAGCTGGATGAACACAGCAGGCCAAGCAGCATCAGAGGAGCAGGAAGGCTGACGTTTCGGGCCTAGATCCTCCTAGTGGAGCTTTGGAACTCTCTTCTCCAAGTGGTGGTTGATACTAATTCAACTGTTAAATTTAAATCTGAGATAGATAATATTTTTTATGAAGCAAGGGTATCAAGGGATATGGGCCTAAGGCATCCATATGGCATTAGGCCACAGATCAGCCGTGATCTTATTAAATGGTAAAACAGCTTTGAGGGGTTGAATGGCCTACTCATGGCCTGCACATTGACAGCATCAAAGATTAGTTTCTCCAGTACAGAGTGACATCAGCCAGGGAAACATTGCCATTCCACAGTGTCAAAGTCACTCACCTGCTCTAAAGTCATCCATGTCTTCCCTCAGTACCTTCAGACTTTATTACAAATTTGTTCCTAAGTACACAAAGATCACAGATGTTAATATAGGTACTTCTCCTATAACACTAGCCATGCTGGCTCAGTGGTTAGCACCGCTGCCTCATGGTGCCAGGGTCCTGGGTCCAATTCCACCCTTGGGCAACTCCCTGTGTGGAGTTTGCATGTTCTCCCTATATCTGTGTGGGTTTTCTCCAAGTGCTCCAGTTTCCTCCCACAGTCTAAAGATATGGAGATCAGGTGGGTTAAAGGAGGATTGGTCTAGGTAGAATGCTCTGAGAGTTGGTGTGGACTTGTTGGGCCAAAGGGTCTATTTCCACACTATAGGTATTGCATAGTTTAGACAAAAAACACAATAGTTGTGTTCTTATGCGAGCTCGCGCTGTAGAAAATCGCACTACAGAAAATCATGTTACAGGAAAATTGCTATACTGTACAGTAGAAAGTTTGCATTATCCAAACTGCGTCCACTGTTCATCAAACATGTTACAGCCAATTCACGTTAACAAAACACGTGTTATAGCAGAAATACCTGCGAAAGGTGCACAGTAGAAAAGAACAATAAATCAACAAACAATGTCTGAAGAATCTCCTCCATTCCTCATAAATTTCATATGGAAATCTGTCACAACTGATGCCACAGGAAAAGCAGTTGGAACTGTTTTCTCATAGTACATTTCACAGCCAGAAATGTCAAATATTAGGGAGCATAGCTTAAAGGTGACAGGCGATAAGTTTAAAGGAGATGTGTGAGGGACTTTTTTCTCCCCCACACAGAGGGTGGTAGGTACCTGGAACATGCTGCCAGCGGAGGTTGTACAAGCAGATATGATAGCAATGTTTAGGAGGTATTTAGACAGACATGTGAACAGGCAGGGAATAGAGGGATATAGACCATGTGCAGATCGGTGGGATTAGTTTAGAATGGCATCTTGGTCAGCATACGGTGGGCTGAAGGTCCAGTTCCTGTGCTTTACTCTTCTATGTTCTGGATCTCTGTGGTAGAAAGTTCAGTGATCAGCGGGGCATGACCACATGGTTAGCCACATCAGTCATCTACAGATGGTCAGGTCGAGTATCTCACAGGTTCAAACATGTGAGTGATTGACATGCTGAGCAAACTGCAAAGAGAGTTAGTGATAGCCTTGTCATAGTAAAGACTGTGAGACTTCACACACAAACACAAGCCTTGTTACAGGAGTTGGAGGCAGAAATGTCAAGAGTGAACTGCAGAAAGAAAGCAAGCAGGCTTGCAAGACTGAGGAAGAACTAGATCTATCCTATACAGTACGTGATGAGATCATGTTGTTAGATAACAACTGTTCTCTATGGGACACCAGAACAGGTATCC